TTATGGACCCTTTTCCAAGGCAGCCTTTTGCAAACAGAACAGGGCTTACAGAAGCAGGATGCCTACACTGGATCCCATCCAGACCCAAAGCGCCTGAAGGCAGGACAAGAAGCAACGGGTGGATACTAACCAAAGAGAGAAGCAACCTAGAACTAAGGAGAAACTTCCTGACAGTTAGAACAATTAACCAGTGGAACAACCTGCCTCCAGAAGTGGTGAATGCGCCAACACTGGAAGTTTTTAAGAAGAAACTGGACAGCCATTTGTCCGAAATGGTGTAGGGTTTTCCTGCCTGAGCAGGGGGTTGGGCTAGATGACCTTCAAGGTTCCTTCCAACTTTACTATAATAATAATAATAATAATAATAATAATAATAATAATAATAATAATAATAATAATAATAATAATAATAATAATATTATTATTATTATTATTATTATTATTATTATTATTAATCAAGCATCTTTTCCCACCTTACATAAAAAAAGATAAGCATATTAATTGACTAGTTCCTTTCTCCAAATATTCTTGCATGGTAGCCGACAAGAAAAATGACTCCATGCTACTTATTGCAAGTAGATAGAGTATGGAATAAATTGGTACTGAGTAAAAAAAAATGGAATTATTATGCAGCAAAATCTAAAATACCAGTTCTTAAGTTGTCAGGTTAGAAAAGCAAAGGCAGAGCAGGGTTGCTGTTTCTTTAAGTGATTGCCAGATGCCTCCAAGTGGCTGGAAAAACCAGTTTGCAGGCTTGGGTTTGAAGAACAAAGGGCAAACTTCCCAGCAGTACTCCAGATATTTCTGGAGAAATCTTTTTTAAAATGTCTGTTCAGAAATCTCCCATTCCTCTCAAGAGCTCTCGGGTCGTGTGGCCCTGCTAAACTGTGTACAGAGGAGTTGGCTAAAGAAAGCTAAGGTGCAATGTGGCAGCTTCTTAAGTTTATCTTAGAATATAGAAAGGTACAGTTTCTTTTCTTAATTACAGAATGATGCAAAGCAGGAGTACTTCAATCAGAAAAATAAGTTGTTAAAAGAAATATCCAGTCCAGGTATCTAACCAATGTCTTTAGTTGCCTTACAAACAGGTAAAATAAAACAAGGATGTTTGTGAACCTGATTAATTTCCTCAACATAGTAATATATAGCCCATTTAGGGGCAGGCTTTTCAGTAAGGATTGTTAATAGCATTTTTATTTTTAGAAGATTAACAGCTCTGGATAGACAACTACAAAGCAACAGTTACAGTTACTATATAATGGTCATCTGTAGGGCAATCGCAGTATGGAAGCCCTCATCATGTTTATGAAATAACCATTACAATAACAACCTATAATTTAATATTGAGAGAGAGTTAAGTAAGCACCCCGACTTTTGCCAATCATTTTCAGCAGCCATATTTCCTATCAGCATCCCAACCAATTACTTAGTTGAAGAGTGCCCTGTGATAACATTAAAACGATCCCATCTGAATGTGTCCTTCCCAAGAAATTCGCCATTGCCCTGCCAATCAAAAAGGAAAGATTAATATAACATGGCCTCATCTATGCAATGAAGATCAGGTAAAAGAGATATCTTAGATTCTGGAAGCACCATAAAAATAGGTAAAAATATATGTACCGGTACCCATTTTCATATGATTTTTTAATTCATAGCTGCTTCTTATCTCCTATCCCCAAATTAAGCACAAAATAAGCTTGCATTATCAGAGGAGAAAAAAACATTGTTAAGCTTAAGGAAGCTCAGACCTCGACTTAAGCAAGCTCAATTAAGCAGGCTTTGACAAAAACAATGTTGTGCTTAAAGCAACAGGCAGTTACCTCCCTATCCCTGATTCATTTGGCAAGATTATTAACTTGGTGTTTGCTAACAGAACAATCATTCCCATGGAAATATTTCTTTGAGGTCACAAACAACATTATGACATCACAAAAGGAACACTTGGTAGAACAGATAAGTGGGAAGGAGCAATGCAATGATTGTTTATGCTTTATTTTATAGGATGCAGTTCAGATCTATCCAGGATTAAAGCCTTCCAGAGAAAGAAGAACCAGATACTAGTACAAAGGCAAACTAGTTCATTCAAACTCTGCTCCAATAAATAAATTTAAGATATGGAAGTATGTCAATTTTTCACATTCAAATCAAATCAAAAGGGGGGAGTTTCATTTTACCCTTCCTCTTTTTTAAGTTTTCCAAAATTTTATGAATTCCATATGAAGAACTAACCCAACAACAATAAAAGATCTAGGCAAAATAGTTATTGTATTTCTTCATCCCCAGCTTTTAAAGAAAAATGAATGTAGGGATTTTCAGATCCTGAGCTCTCCATTTTATAGTATAAAGATATGTTTGCCTGTCTTTTACGTTACAAGTGTCTTGTGTTAATGTCTCATGTGTTATGTCTCATACTATCATGTTACAAGAGTAATTGATAAAATATTATCATTCCCCCACTGTTGAAGCCGAACCACTTTGAAGTTAAGCGTTGGTTCTAATGAGGTGCAGGGCCCATCATGGATGAAGTCCTATCTTTATGAGGCATGCTGTTTTGAGGCATGGGAGTTTGTGATTTCCTGTGTAACAGGTATGCATGAAAAAGAAAACTCAAACCACATACATTTTTATAGCATTTTGAATAGGTTTAAGATTTGCATGTTATTGCAGTAAACAAACACAGCCTTCTTATCTCACGGCCTGGCCACAATCAATGAGTTAGCCTTTAAAGCAGCTTTTCCGAGGAGACTGGATGTCCTACAGACTTTCCCTGCCAGAATTCCTTTGGTTAGCCTGGAGAACTCTGCTTTAAGATTTTAGAAAACACTAGATTGTCTTAACTTAAGACACATTTAATAGATCAATTAAAAAAATCAAGATGGAAGAGGCTATCCGTCTTTTAAAAAAACGCAGCACGTTCCTTGATGTGTGTTTTCAAAAATTAGTTGCTCCATATTCAATAGGACTTACTGAGTTTAGAATGGTAGTTCAAATCAGAGCTCCATCGTCAGAAGCAAGAAAATCACAGATGTGGCAATAAAGAAAATCGAAATACAGGTACTGTAAATGGGTAGTGAGTAGACCTTGGAAAGAATGTGGTGTTTTGTTTGTGACCTGCATTAGAGGCCAGATATACCACCTTTCACACCCAAAGGCAGGTATGTGGGATCCTCAAGCAGACAAAAATCAATCTTCCTTTGACAGGAATGAACTTCCCAAACCAGTTCATCAAGTCAGGCAGAAAGAAGAGTGGGAGGGAGGAAAGAGGTGAGGCATAAGGGAGTGGGAGGGATATATAGTTTAAGGGAATTACAAAGGAAATATGAGTCACCGATCCAGGGAAGAAGAGTCCAGCTCTCTGTTTATTCATTTCAATATAACCACCCCCACAAGCCGTAACCGCTTCACAACATGGCTTCTGGAAATCCATTGTCTTCATTGACCCGGGAGATAAAATATATAAAATGCCAAGTAATCCAGAAAGCAGCCAATTAAAAGGCCAGGAGCAAAATCCATTTTTAGTTTGTGAGGTCTACACATTAGAAGTATATATTTTAAACTGCAGAATGTTTATAAAAGGCAAATCCCTACTATCTCAATACCCAATGGTAGACTTTTATGATGTTCTAATACACACTCATGGTAAAAGGATGGTTATTGTGTGGATTAAAGTGGCACTGAAAGTAGTATTACAGATAAAACTATCAGATTCAGAGAGAATTCTACAATAGCTGACAAATAGATTTTCTGCAAAAGTTATCCTTCTGCAGCCTCCAAGTTTCACTGCATGACAAATACAGTCCTTGGCTTAAGACTGTTCATTTAATGACAGTATGGAATTACAAGAGTCATGGAATGTATGCTTTAAGACCCATAAAGCACTTCTGGCCATTGCAAAATTCCACTCACACAATTGCAATCTAGGTGTTTGGCAACCTGTTTGTACTTATGACTGACTGGTAGCCATGTGATCATGTGATTGCCATTTGCAGTCTTCTCTGTTGGCTTCCCTAGAAAGTCAATGCCATAGAGCTGTGACTCCCCCCATCCCAGGCAGGCATTTGAGAGCAAAAGGGCAGCCTGCCAAGCAGAGATGAATTCCTTTGATAGGCTGCAGAAACAGAGATCAGATCCCAAAAATCTGAGCTCTATTCCTGCAGCCCTTTGGAGGAATTCCTCTCCACACACGGAAGGGAGCTGAACTCAGTAGGCAGCTCTTTGGCTTCATCCACTTAACAACCCAAAAGACTGGTTGTTGACTGGTCCACAATTGGGAGTGCTGGGACTGTGGTCATTAAATGACACTGTCATGTGAGCATCTTACTTAATGACTGATTCACTCAATGACTGAGATTCTGTTCCCAATTTGTAAGTCGAGGACTATCTATACCTAATTTCCAATTTCTTCAATTAAATATCCAAATCCACCACACTATGTATTGGATTATTAGACTACAATGGTTAGCTGTCCTATTTAATTAAATCAATGTACTTCCTGAAGAAATGTAGCCCCTTCTTTCTTTTCTTTATAAAACTTTAATCACTGTGCACTTGTTTCAGATTAAACTTAGAAAAATGCAAATCCTTGCTCAACTATCAAGGTCCTCAGATAATAGTTTCTCTTGGAGATGAGGGGCTAGAGTGACTATTGCTGGTTGCCTCAGTACTACATTTCGAACCTGTTGAATATAAGTTATTACTTATCACTATATTTTGTCACTGTACTTTTTATTCTACATGTTGGCCATTAGAATTGCATTCCACGAAGGATCATTTTGGAGCAGCATGCAGGCTTCTGAAAACAAATACAAGAAAGCACAACTCAACTATGATGGTTGTGAGCACAAAAGGAAGAAGTGGAACTGGTATGCCTCCTTGAATTTTTTGAAGGAAGGTGGGAGATAAGTATGCTTAAGTGAACAGCAAATAATCAAGCTATTGCTCTTGGGTCTTTCTGAAATCCAGCTTCAACCATGTAAGTTATAAAACCAAATCTCACTCACCATACATTTTGCCCTCATCTGAGAGGATAATCTTCCGCCGACCACAGGGCGGATATATTGCCAGTGCCTCCTGGAAGCTTTGTTCAATGTCTGGACTCCAAACTCCTTCGGCATCATTGTCCAGACTTTTGTCCATTCCCTCTTGTCCATCTTCTCGCCCCTCCCCAGGGCTGCCGCTGGTGTTCCAGCTGTTGGACGCTATTGTGATGGCTGCTCTGGGCTCTGACCCTGAGCCCCAAAAGGCAATTTGTCAGCCTAAAACAAGCAAAGAGGGTTGATTAATGAACTGCCATTGAGCATAGATGGCATCCTAAACCTCCAGATTGAAGTTAAAAACAAATTTGGAACCACATAAACATCAATATGGGTGAGGACCCAACTTTAAACATTTGTTTCACGGAATTTTTAAATATACATATTAAACACTTTTACAGATGATGTCCTAGCTATTATAAATTTGCTGGTCATAATTTGTAGCAATGTTTCAATGCTTTTACATACCCCTGCCTGTGTAACATTTATCCAAGGAAACCAAAGGCTATTTTCTCGTATATATATATTGAATATATATTGGATATTTTTAAATATTCTGGCTCTGGCTCAAAAAGTTACTTAAGCAATAGGACTTCAAACAAAATTAGTATCAGAAATTTAATCCTTCCCATACATACCATTGTCCCACTTCCAGATAACATGTAACAAACATAGAGAATATGACCTTTCAGAAATGAGGATTTAAATTATTTTCTAATCATCTTGGTTGTACTTTAGCCTACATTAAGAAACAAGTATTTAAACACTGATTTCAATAACCAGAATTTGTCTAAACCCATTCCATCGTGATTAACTACACTGTGACTATTGGAGAAGGCCATTCAACATTATTTTTTAACAGTAATGTGGTTTGGAGAGATTTTCATCAGCACAATATGCTTCTGTTTAAGAAAAACTCTGTGTCGTAAAATTAATTGATAACATAATGAATTAAGACAAATCAAACAGTCTATTCAAGGATTTAATGTTCATCAAGTTGAACATTAAAACTACCATTTTCTTTTTTTGGTGTGTGTGTTGTAAATAATCTGTAATTTTCAGAAAGATTCTGCAAAGATCCAGACCCCTGTCTGCAATTCAGCGTTATCTGTGAGCCTGGAAATTGTACCTGTTTCTTCCTACACACTACTCCAAAGCAACCGGGTGTTTTGCAATAACTTGTTTGGGGGCTGCAGCACCACCAGCAGCTGCTCATGGGGTGATGAGAGCACAGAGGTGTCTCCTCCGGCAGGAAGCTTCCGGAGAGAACACAACTAAGGTGTCCAATGCAGATATCTCCTTTTAAAGAAACTGTAGAGACAACGGGCTGGCTTAATGTTTCATGTTCTCTCTCTCTCTTTTTTTTAAAGGAACCTCTTCTCTGCTGCTCTATGATGTCACCTAATCTCCCTCTTGCTTCCCTCCGCCTCCCCTTTCACCCACCCCACCCCACCCCTTCTTTGGAAACAGAGCGTAGCCAAATAAGGAGATCAGAACTACAGCAACTAGCCAAAGCGAAGGGGAGGGATGAAGGGGAGACTGCAGTCCACACAAGGCTCCAAACACACACTTCTCCACTCTCCCTCTCTTTCCTGCGCCTGTTCCCTCCTCTCTCAGACACATACACACCATGCAACATGCACACAGCTGTGCAAAATGATCAGGGATCCCCATGCTCCCAGAGAACATTCTGAGAGCATGGGATGCAACAAGAATTCCAAGAGCAGGATGTAGAAGTATGTTCACAGAAGTATGTTCAACTTTGGAAGAGCCTGTGAAGACGTTAAGGAAGGGTGGGTCTGACTCCAACAATCTTGGGGGAAAAAAGGCTATAGTGGCAAAGTTGTTTTTTGCTGAACATCAGCCTCTGTGTCTCTTTCCTCCCTCACATATACAAAAGACATTAATAAGATTGAACAAGTCCAGAGACCCGCAACAAAAATGGTGCAAGGTCTGAGGGGCAAAATATATCTGGAGAGATTGAAGAAACTGAACACAGGTAGTCCCCGACTTACAACAATTTGTTTAGTGACCATTCAAAGTTACAACTGTACTGAAAAAAGTGGCTTATGACCATTTTTCACACTTACGACCGTTGCAGCATCCTCATGGTCACGTGATCAAAATTCAGACTCTTGGCAACTGATTGATATTTATGACAATTGCAGTGTCCCAAGGTCATGTGATCCCCTTTTGTGACCAACTGACAAGCAAAGTCAATGGGGAAGCCAGATTCATTTAACAGTTGTGTTGTTAACGTAACAACTGCCGTGATTCACTTAACAACTGTGGACAGAAAGGTCGCAAAATGGGGCAACATTCACTTAACAAATGTTTCTCTTAGCAACAGAATTTTTGGGCTCAATTGTGGCTGTTAAGTCGAGCGTTGACATGAATGAAACCTTTAAATATACTAAGCGTATGAATAAGGTTATAGATAGCAATAATTTCAACATTAAGCAAAAATCACAAACACAGGAGCATAACCTTAACCTGATTAAGAGGGAAGTTTAAAAGTAATGTTAGAAAGTATTTTACTGCACAGAGAGAGTAGTGGAAGCTTGGAACCAACTGCCAGCAGAGGTAGCGGGTCAATCATCGGTATAACTGAGCTTAAAATATGCTTGGGATAAACATGTGTTCATCATCTGACAAAACTTTAAAAATAATATAAATAAAAATAATTAAATAATAAGTATATAAACTAAAAGGAAAACAACCCCCCCCCCCAAAAAAAAAGTTCAAAGGGCAGACTTGATGAACTACTAGGTCTTTTCCTGCTGTCTTGTTTTCCTAGTTTCCAGATAGTCCCTACCTTATTTCTCCATCTTTTTCTCCCATAAAGATGCACATCATAGAACTTAAGATAGGAGCACAACAAGAAACTTCTATTGCTATTCAGGGGAGGAACCGGCCAAAAGGGTGGGCTCCATGTTTGGATCCTTTCAAAGAAAGACCTTCTTTTCTGTCTCGGTTGCCCACTTGCTTGCTATCTCAGAGCACAATTCTTACTACTGCCCGGAGGAAGAAGGCAAGTTAGTAGAGTAGGGAAGGGCATTGGTAGCGACAGCTGCTCTCCTGCCAGGCTCTTGCAACTGCCAGTTTACTCAGCTGTTCAAAAAAAAAAAAGTGGGGGGGAGAGCGACCGTGTGGATAAGCAATGGACGAAGCAGCAGTAGGATCAGCGAATTTCAGTAAAGGGCCCTGAGCAGATGCCCAGCAACTCCAGCTGGCAGCATTGACTCGGCTGAGAAATCTTCTAACAGGGGCATTCAAATAGTAAGGGATTTTTTTTCAAGCTGAGATCACTTCATGCAGTTCCCCACCTGAGATTCATCCTTCCTTGAGAAAGGACACTGGAACATCTTGATCCATGCCCTTGTCCCGGAATCAAGAGTGTACCATGAAGAAAACTGATGCTACTTATTTTTTTTACAAAAGACCATCTTCCCTGCCTTGCTCCGGTTTTCCAGGAATTCAGGAATGCCAATAGCAGTCAGCCAAACCATCAATAATGAAGAACTATGGAAGCAATCCAGGTGTGAAAAAGTGTTTTGCAAATGTCAGAACGTTGTTTTCACATTTTAGGTAATTTTAGAAATCTTTTCACGTTTCAGATCTTTTTGTTATCAACAGATTTGAAACAGCAATTGTTATCCTAAAGAGTAGGTGCCTTTTTCTTTCTGCCGTTCATACAGACACAGAA